GAAAGAAATAAGATCTGCATTAAAATAAAGGCTATTCTTACTGGTCCTGTAACCCACTAGTTGAAGATACATTAATGTAGTTTACTCAAATGCAGTAGGTCTCTTGATTCCTAGTCTTAATCATCATTTCCATATACTGTCTGCATTTTTTTTTTGTCTATCCTACCATTGCAAAAATAGGCAAGAGCAGGGATTTTCTCATTGAACCCTCAATTTTTATTTACTCCTTGTGCCAGGAACACCAGTCATAGTGACATTTGGAGTCTATAGAATACATTTATTCTCCTGTGTTTTCCTTTAAATATTATAATCTTATTTCCCCGGTTTCAGACATTCAGGTACCAACTAATTTTTTTCCTTAAAGTGGAAACTTTTTATCGTTTCCATAAATGGAGTATAGCTATAGATATCATTTGCCATGAATAGAAGGAATCCCATAAAAATGCAGTGAAAGTAGAACAATGTTATAAATTTTAGCTAAGTATTCTTACTGTTAAAGCTATGAACCCAAGGCCCATTTGCCTTCTTCAGGAAGGATATTTTGTTATCAAAAGGTATAAAGATTATTAGCACCAAATTGAAACTTTGTTTTTGCTTTAATACTAGAAAAGGAAAGAAACTTTAATTTTGGTAGTATTTAGTGTACTGTGCCTGTGCCACATTTTAGGGAAACACTGCCATATACCTATTAAGTCAGTCAATCATTGCTGATAGTAACCAATGCAGTTAAAGTTCATGGAAGTGTTTTTGGTTCCTTAGAAAACAGAAAAGACTGAATTTCTGGGTTTCTTCTACAAACACTGTATGCATGTACTCACTGCTCCTTTACTGGCAAATACCACGGAAGACAAACCTAGCAAAGGTAAGATAATGCAGATTGGTAGTTCTTGAATTCTGAAACTCATGGTGTTAACATAGAAGTCTAATGTATTTTCAGAAGAGGTGTTCAAAGTAAAATTTCTTTAAAGTGTTATAATCAGATATCAAAGAAAATAAGAATTGCTTTCGGATTTTTAAATTTTATTTTAATAGGAGGGCGCGGAGGGATTTATTGTTCCATTTATTTACCAGTATGCCCTCATGGGTTGATTTTTGTCCCTGATGAATCTGCAACCTTGATGTATTGTGACAATGCTCTAACCAACTCTAGCTATCTGGCCAGGGTGCCTTCACAATTTTAAAACAATTTTTTGTTGGCAGTATTTGTTTTTAGTTTGCATTTACATAAGTGAAATAAATAGAAGTAGCTATGAGAAAATTCATTTTAAGTTATTTATACTCCAGATGTGTAGTAGAGCAAAGCTTATACTCAATATTAAGCTGTTTATATTTGCACTGAGGATGAATCAAAACATTATTTGTTACTTTTGCATTTTATTCCTTTTGCTTTTAGCTTGTCTGTTTAATTTAGAAAGTAGTTTTAGGGTCTTCATTGGGAAATTCCTTATTGAAGCTTTCCGAATAACTATATTATTTTGTCATATGAATTATCAGTGTATAATATTTTAATTTACAGCACCACTTAGAAAATAAATGTTAAATTTACTTTTAATGACTTTGGAATCAAGTCTTGGAAACAAGATATACTCATTTCTCCTACCTACTTTATTCCTGTTAGGTAAAGCTTGAGGCTTTTTTCCAGACCCACATGTTTTATTCATCAAACATTTATTGAGAACCCATTGCATGGAAGGCATGTGCTATAATCTTTAGGGGCATAATGGGGGAATTGAAAAAATTAGTAAAATACTTTCAGAGGCTTACTGCCTGGTGAGGAAGATACACCAATCATTGTAATTCACTATGGATTCATTATGTATAATAAAGGAGGCACAGAACACACTTCATTCATAGGAGTAGAGAGAATAATTCCATCAAAGACTAGATGTGTCTGGCAGAACCTATGCTATGCTGAGGGATGTGTTAAGACGTGGTAGAGCATTCTTGCACTTGGAATAAAGCAGATGTAGTACATTTGTATCCCATCTCTGCTTTACTAACTTTTCAGACGTGCGTCTTGTAAAACTAATTCCTCATAGAGTTATTTAGATGAAGAAAAAATGTAAAGCATCATTCTTAGTACATGGTAGGCATTCAGTGAATGTTAGTTTCCTTTTCCTTAACTTTAAATATTTAGGTTAATAGAAGGAATTTTACTTGATTTGAATTTAGGTTCTTATATTTGGGGAGAAAAAGAAAATTATCCATTAAATATAAATTGTGTTTTGTTATTTTAGATGATTTTCAGACTGCCCAGTTGTTGGCACTTGTATTGGAATTGTTAACATTTTGTGTGGAGCATCATACCTACCACATAAAGAACTACATAATTAATAAGGACATCCTCCGGAGAGTGCTAGTGCTCATGGCCTCGAAGCATGCTTTCTTGGCATTATGTAAGTGTTGCTTCTGGTAGAATTACTTATCTATATCCTATCATGTTGTTGGTAGTTTTAGGTCTCATTGCCTAAGAAGAAATGATCACTGATTTCAAGTCAGAAGAGCTAATACTAAGCTACACCGATTATGTATTTGTGCCACATTTTGAGCAGCTGATTGTCCTGACTTTGTTCTTTCTCGTTACTATCCAGCAAAGGGTTAATTAAAGTATATCTGTAAAGTGTATTGCCGAAGAGTGTTACATTCCATCATTAAGATGGCACCTGAGATCATTTTACCTCAGTTACTATTTTTTAACCTTAGATTGCATTACTAATTACAAATTAGGCATTCTTCTTGTTAGACTAGTCTCAAATGAAATCATGAAGAAACATTTTCATAATTTGGAAAATTTATACCTAATAGAACTGAGTTCACAAAGCACAGCCTCTCTCAAGTTACAGAATGCCTAGCACAGATGTCTACAGATGGTCCATTTTTTAATTCCACAAATGATTTTTCTCCAGCTTTATTGACATTGTGTTATCTCAGATATTTTAGAGCAGGGTGGCAGTTGTGGCGAAATCTGGCCTGTGGTCTATTTTTATGCAACTGGCAAACTGAAAAATGGTTATTATGTTTTTAAAGGGTTGTTTAAAAAAGGTGAGAGACCATATGACCATACATGGCTCACAAAGCTTAGAATATGTACTGTGTACACTTTTATAGAATGGTTTGTCAGCTCTTTTAGAGCAACAGATAGTCTTTTAACAAGGTTGTTTATGGTTACACAGTTCTCAAAAATTGACTTTCACTGTGTTCTTAAGACCCTACTTTATTGAAGTAAAAAACATTTTTTCTGTATTGGAAATAGGTTAATCCATTCTTGATCATATAGCAGCCAGCCTTCTTTGGTTAAGTTGGTAGACCAATTTTAGGGGTACCCTTGTGACTCATTAAGAGACATCTGCTGGTAACTAACTTATGCTTTTGGTTGTTTATAGGTAAGTTTGGTTGTTTTGTTGTTATTGTTTAAAGGCATCATAGTCATACACTAATTAGGAACCTGAATATATATATCCGTTTTTGCTCTTTTTGGTTTACATCATTTAACATTTTTTTCCTTGATTTTTAAAAACATCCTTAAATTATAAAAACATTATATAAGACTGCTTCTGGTGTTGATTTGTTTTATCAACATTTTATCTTTTATCTATTAGAAATAGGGTTCCTTCTAAAAAATTCATTTAATTTTCTATCAGGATAACAGTTGTTACAATTGACAGTTTTTCAGGCCTGTGTACACATTGCAGTATGTACTGAGAATACATCTGGACAGAGTATATTTTTCATTTTTCAGATATTTTGTACAACTACTTTCTGCTAATTACCCAGAATCTTTGATAATACTTTAGTGATCGTTTTTTCCAGCCAGAAGTAATAGTATTGGTGGTATTAACCTAGACTGCTAAGGGCAGCAAAAAAATAAATTCATTATTTTGGTTCTATCCTGCTTTTGCATATGTTTATGAGCTTTATTAGCACATGTGAAAGAGGGTTTTTAAATTAATGTGCATTTTCCTTGTATACCTACCACAGCAAAAGTGAGCCCCAAGACCAAGTTGAGAGGGAGTTTATAATGAATGCTTCTTTGAATTATGTCCACCATAGAAGGTTTTGTTTGAAGGTGGGAAAGGGAGTTTGTGAGCCGGTGGGACAGAATGGAACATCTGAATAAAAACATTAATCAGTTTATTTCAACAAATTTAATAAAAATAAATACTACCATATTTCATTGATTCTAAGGCAGCGGTCGCCAATCTTTCGGATCACATGGACCACTGGTTGGTGACAGCTGCTCCAAAGGTTTTCTTCAACCAGCGGTCACCAACTTGGACCTCATGGACCATCAGTGGTCCACGGTTGGCGACCGCTGCCCTAAGGTATATATTTGTATGCATTTATCATCTCAAATTAAGGTAAGTCTTCACAGTTAATGGCATGATCTGTAGTCCTGTTTGTTCATTTTGTTTTCCTAGTAGTAGAAAAGATAAAGAGTTTGCAATCAGTGGCATCTTCGATTTGAAGAAGTATATGTACTTGGAATTAGAAAAATGAAGATGATTTTGACCTGTACTCAGGAGATGGCCTATAAAAGTCAAAACACATCACCACAAGCACTATATTGTGATGTGTTTAGATGTTTAGTGGAAATGGTTTATTCTACATGAATAAAGCAGATCAGGGAAATTTTGAAAGAGTTCAGTTGAATTTCTATTAATCATGGGGCGAGTATGGCATTCTTATTTGAACACGCTGTTAAGATGTGCAAATGTGGAAAAGTGGTGTGTGAGTGTTTGTGGGTGGGTAGAACACAAGTCCCATAGGAGAGTGTCAGGAAAGATCTCTTCAGTTCTCCATCTCATTTGGCTTGCAGTATTGCAAAGAAAATGTCTCATCATTTAATGAGAACTCTGAAGAGAATCATTACAAATTAATGGAAGTTTATCTTTTAGGAAATTCAAGCATGCCAGATAAATCTTAGTTATCTTTTTTTATTAATATTTTCCAAATAAAGTTATCATTAATCCTAACCCTCAAATTATTCTCAGTGTGGCTGTCTTCCCAGTACTGAGAATATAAGTAGCTTCTGAAAGAAGATGCCAGTTAGTAGTAATGAGCTCTTTAGGACTGGCTTTGCAGTATACAGGAGTTTTTATTAAGGATTTCTAGAAAAACTAAATATAATTTGAGATGATTTAAGGTATTTTTGGTCTTCTGAGAAAGGAGTACATTAAAATACTAGGTATAATTTTGTAAGGGAGGGTTTTGTAAGTAAATTTAGATGCATACTTGCAAGGACAAAATATAAATGGTTAAATGTAAATAATTTGGGGACTTGGGGAACTTCATTTTTTATATCTGCTGCTGCTTAATTAGTATACTTTTATCATATTTAAAGACAACTAATCAAGTCTGTAGCTGAGACCAGCAATACTTTCAAATATAGGTTAGAGATATGTACACACACACACACTAATAGTAATAGTCTTATTTCTTGGCCTTTTCAGGATTCTTGGATCTTACATTGTAGCCTTCTAGCTCATTTTTATGTTGTCTGTATTTTTGTAGAAAATATGAAAATCTATAAGAGGAATGAGGTAATTTTGTTCGAGGTGCTTTTATTCAGCTATCATTTAATTACACAGGAGGCATAAAGTCTCAAACTTATTACATGAAATCTCATGTTGTATAAGGTAAAGATGGATTACTTGTTTTAGAGATGATTGAAACTAAGCAGAAAAGATCCCTGGCTTGTTAATAATGAAGGCTAGAGGTGTGAGTGGAAGTAGAGTGCACTTTACATTGAAAATCCTATGGTTATGTCAGTTTGACATATCCCAAAAGCTTTCTCTCATACTCCGTTGAGCAACTTGACTTCTCAGAACTCTGGTAAATTTTTGAAAGCTTTTTTTTTTTATCCAACAGCAAAACATAGTGGTTGGATATTCTTGATACAGGTTCTTTTTGGGGAAAGGTTTGAGTGGAAACAATACAAATTTTGATAAAAATAAATGAGGGCAAATGGAAATGAGCAGAACAAAAAGACCTTAGAACTACCTTCTATCTATATCAGCAGTTTCTGAACAGAACTGCTCTTGAGGAAATGGTGGTGCTCTCTGCATACCCTTAGTCTTAGTGAATTCTAGGAAGGGAGCTGCTTTTCACTTAACCTAGGAACTGCATGCAGACCACAGGGTTCAGCTAGTGTGTGTTATGGTAGGACACAAGTCTCCACAAAGCCTGCAAAGTTAGAGTACCAATTCTTAGTAGCTCTTGCCTTAATTACTAAAAGCTTAAAATTTGGCCTTAGTAGCATGAGCTCTAAAGTATTGACTTTTATTCTCACAAATGGAACTGCCTCACTAAGTTCATTTGTCTAGTAATAAAAGAAAAACCAAACTCTAAAACCATTGTTTTGGGAAAATAAACCCTTGTTCTGGTTTGACTTAAAACACAGAAAGATGCCTCTTATTGTATAAAATGTCTTATTTCACCATGCTTATGTATTTGAAAATAGTCATTAGTTTAAAAAATAAAATGCAATTGCTATTATATAAACTATTTTGAAATTCCCTGCCCAGAGTGTCTCTTTAGAAAGAAACACTCTTAAAGTTGGATTGTTAAGGCAGTTTATAATCAACTGTACCTGATTGGGCATTCACTTGTGCACCTCTTTTCTGCCAACGAAAGAAAAATTGAGCTGCTTTACTCCTCTGCCTTCCCACCCAGAAACCGTGTCAGCATGGTTGCCTGGCTACCTGCTCATGAAGGACTTGATTAATAACAAATTGGCAATTTAACGAGCCACTTCCATGATCTCCAAAGAAACCAAAATACAAACACAATATTTAATCTTGCCAACCGAAGACGATGTGACTGCATGAAGTGAGTATGCTTTTTTGAACTGTTTACAGTAACTGGGGCATTAACTTACTGATAATTCCATTTAGGTAAAGAGGGCTTTGTTGAAGTCTAGCTGTCTGCGTATATTTGGATCTTGACGAATGGTGACTTAACTCCCCATACCTCAAGATGTAAATATACCTTTTAATCTGTAAGTTAAAGCCTAATTAATTGTAAAAAAGGAAAACTATGAAAAAAATTTAAAAAGCATACTCGCTGCAATAAGCATAGAGGACCACATTTTAAAAATAACATCCTCTAAATTTTTTTTAAAATACAGGAAGGCAAATTTTGGGTCATGCAGATTTTTGTGGTTTATAGCATTTATCCAAGCACGCCCACAAATAAACCAATGCAACCATGTGTTCTGATGCAAAATAATAAAGTGTCCAAAAGTAATGGTCAAATTACACCAATGGATTGCCCTAATAAAACAATGGTTTTTCTGTTGTTTTGACGGTATATATAAACGAATATATGTAGATTCTCATCTTAAGTAGTATGATAGGTTAATTCATTCATTGGCTCTATCTTAGTTCCTATGTCAGCTGTAAAGTACATTTTGGTCATTAGTAACTTCCAGAATTTTTCTGGCTCTCTAAGACTTGTGTTCTATGATGACACACACTACTTTTAGAATACATTTTTCTGATAACCCTCTTGTAATCCTTATCTTTAGGTTCATACTTCTGGAAGCAGTAACATCACTGCACGAAGAATTATATTTATTAGACAGATTTTTGTGTGTGTGAGTCTAAAATATGGAAGTGTGGTATGTAATTTGAATAATGCCTCTTCATTTCAGGTGCTCTTCGTTTTAAGAGAAAGATTATTGGATTAAAAGATGAGTTTTACAACCGCTACATAATGAAAAGCTTTTTGTTTGAACCAGTAGTCAAAGCATTTCTCAACAATGGATCCCGCTACAATCTGATGAACTCTGCCATAATAGAGATGTTTGAATTTATAAGAGTGGTAGGTTCTGTACTTTATTAGTTAGGTTTTGGTTTTAATTATTGAGGAACTTTAATCTGCATTATTGGGACTTTGGCTTGAGTTATTGTATTTGAAGATAATTTTTTAAAAGAAAACGTGTGTTACCAAAAGCTTATGAGAGAGAGTCAATTCAAACTAATAAAAACCAAAATAATCTCTCTCAGCAGCTATGATTCCTTTTTGTAGGATAGTTTGAAAACTGCTTTAATACTGTCAGGGTAATCATTTTAAGAAAGTAACATTACAGTTGATAACTATTTAGATGTGTTTTTGTTTAACTTTCTTGACTTTCTCCCACATATATCTTTTTTACTTCTTTTCTAAACTTTTTTGTCTATTTTTTAATATGTTTTTATTGATTTTAGAGCAAGAAAGGAATGGAAAGGGAGAGAGGGAAATATCGATTGGCTGCCTCCTGCATGCTCCCTACTGGGGACCGAGGCCGCAACTTGGGCATGTGCTCTGACCAGGAATTGATCTGGCGACCTTTTGGTGCATGGGACGACGCTCAGCCAACTGAGCCACACTGGCCATGGCTCTCCCATATGTTTCTAAAGGGCAATTTCATAACAAACTCTTCTTGGTTCTTTAATAATATATTAGGTTAGTGCTTTTCAAATATTGGTGTGTGTTAGAGTTATCTGTGGCATGCTTTTTAAAAAATTATGGTAAAGTGTATACGTAATATAAAATTTGCCATTTTAACCATTTCTAAGTATATAATTCACTGGCATTAAGTGTGTTCACATTGTTGCGCAACCATTACCACCATCCACCTCCAACACTTTAGTATGATTTAAAATCTGCCCAGGTGGTATCTGGGCATTTACTTTGGAAAGACCCACAGATAATGCTGAGGTACACCAAAAACGGGGGAACTAGTGAAGGACCCAATATGGTATGCCCATTTTTATTGTTTGATGATCTCTAAGATAGTATCATAATTTTATGAAGTCAGCCTGTTTTGGGTGGGTTTGTCAGTTCATGACAAGGAAGTCATATCTTTCTAAAATAGCATTTCATCTCATTTTTTATTATAATTCTTTTTTATAGGAAGATATAAAATCATTGACTGCTCATGTTATTGAAAATTACTGGAAAGCACTGGAAGATGTAGATTATGTACAGACATTTAAAGGATTAAAATTGAGATTTGAACAACAAAGAGAAAGGCAAGATAATCCCAAACTTGACAGGTAAGTTACCCCGTATTTGAACCTGTTCATTCAGTGACAAGTTGTAGGGCAGTGACTCTTGTTTTGCTTGTATTTTGCTTGTTTGGCTTGGCAGGGGAGGAGGAACTGCAGCTAGTGACTAGAAGTGATAGGCTTCTGTACAATGGTCAGTGTGTTTCCTTGAAGATGTAGGTGGATTTGATCTGTGGGCTCTTCCTCAAGCATATATCAAGCTAGATAATGAAAAAGAAAAGAATGCCACTTACGTGGCATTGAAACTTCATATGTCCAAACAAATGAAAATATTATCTTACTTGCTTTGAATTACAAAGTATTTTTAAGAACTCTTGTACATTTTCCTAAATACCTGAATTCACATACTTATGCTATATTTTAAAATCCATAAATTATGACTTGTTAATTCCTAATGTTAAGCTTAGTAACTGATCTGTAGTAGTACAATTTTGATCATACGAAGTTTGATTCCACTAGTTAATACTAGATAGATAGGGCTGTGTGTTTCTAAATTACATGTTGGGTAAAATCTGTTTTTGTCAGTCTTTAGTGTATAAATCTGTTTTATCCCATTTATCTATTAAGACTGTATCTGATTCAGCCCTGACCAGTTTGGCTCAGTGGCTAGAGCGTCAGCCTGTGGACTGAAGAGTCCCAGGTTCCATTCCGGTCAAAGGCATGTACCTTGGTTGCAGGCACATCCCCAGTAGAGGGTGTGCAGGAGGCAGCTGATGGATGTTTCTCTCTCTCTTCCTCTCTGTAAAAAATCAATAAAATATAAAAAAGACTGTATCTAATTCAGAACAATACTTAAAAAATATCTAGTTAAGTCTTTATGAGTCTGTTTACTCTATCTTCTCTTTACTCATAGTATGCGGTCCATTTTGAGGAATCATAGATATCGAAGAGATGCCAGAACACTCGAAGATGAAGAGGAGATGTGGTTCAACGCAGATGAAGATGATATGGAAGATGGAGAAGCTGTAGTGTCTCCATCTGACAAAGCTAAAAATGATGATGATATTATGGATCCAATAAGTAAATTCATGGAAAGGAAGAAATGTATGTTGAAAATATGAACAAGGAGAAATGAAGTCTTTCTCACCTTATGTTTATTCTTATTTTGTGACTGTATGATTAGTATCTGATTTGTATGTATGACAACATAAATTTTAAAGATGTTGCTTATAAGAGTGAATTAATAGTTCTGCTGTGAAAGCATAAACTAAGTTTTCTTAATTTTACTTAAGGAGAAAATTATCAGAAAGGGTAGAAACACTAAATATGATACTGAAGGTTTCATTCCTTATCAGTAATAAAAATTCAGTAGTAATGATGTTTAGTATTTTGCTAAGTAAGCTTTGTTCAGAGATTGATCTTCAGTGTTTCTCCCTAGCAGAGGAGTAAACTGTGTTCTAGTGTCTCCTCATTTGGGGGATTTTTAAAGATGAGTATGTTTGACAACTATTGACAACATTCTTATTTTTAGTAAAAGAAAGTGAGGAAAAGGAGGTACTTCTGAAAACAAATCTTTCCGGCCGGCAAAGCCCAAGTTTCAAGCTTTCCCTCTCTAGTGGGACAAAGACTAACCTCACCAGCCAGTCACCTGCAACGAACCTGCCTGGATCCCCAGGGTCGCCTGGATCCCCAGGATCTCCTGGATCTCCTGGATCCGTCCCTAAAAATACATCTCAGACGGCAGCTATTACTACCAAGGTACACTTTTGACTCCCAGGCCTATCTAATTTAAGCTTTCTCAACAATAATTTTTGTGACAGTTACTGTCTTTTGGAACTGATTTAAATTTGTGAACTAGAAAATCATTCTCCTATCATCACTTGAACTAACTTACGTTTTTTGTGACCAATATAGGAGTCTGAATATATTCTAATTTTGGTTATTTGCATTTTAGAATCTCAAGTTCAGATTTGTATGTGTCACAACATTTACAGGAATTTAAAAGTTATATTACTTTTTTTATTTTAAATTTTTAAATACTTTTATTGATTTCAGAGAGGAATGGAGAGGGAGAGAGAGAGAAACAGTGATTATGGAGAGTCATTGATCAGCTGCCTCCTGCACACCCCACACTAGGGATTGAGCCCGCAACCCAGGCATGTGCCCTCACTGGCAATCGAACCCTTAACTACTCCTGGTTCATAGGTCGATGTTCAACCACTGAGCCAGGCCAGCTGGGCTTAAGTTATTTTTTTATCAATTTTCCCAATTAATACCAAGATAAAGACTTTGTGGGGAAAAGATAATCTAAAAATCTAGACACGTCTGACTTTATTTTGCCAAGCAAGGTTTATAAAAAGGAGTAAACCATTTCATTTAAAAAACGGATCAAAATTTTGACACCAAAAATGTAGGAAAGAGATTCTCAGAATGAAAATCAATTCTTTGGGCTGCTTTATGCTGCTCTGGATTAGCATAACAGACTAGCATTTGGGATTCATTGATTTAAATCAGAAATATAATGCCCATCAACACATGATCATTCCTCTGATGTGAGCAGGGACCCCTAGGCTAAAAGTGAATGTGAGAAATGCTGAGGTGAAGAGAGAGGCTGTTTGAATCTCACCACCCACCCTCCTAAATAAAGTGAACTACAGTGGTTTCTGGTCATGAGCAGGCCTCTGGGAAGTCCAGATGAAATGATGGGGAGGGGACAGGGCTGAATCACTTCCCTGATGTTTGATGTTTGTGTGCCCTCATTTCTAGTGGTCTATTTAATCTTTTGTAGATATTTTGATATACTATATAAACTTTGCTTAAAAAATTTTAATGCATTGTTAATCTTAACATTTTAAATTTAGTCATTAATGTTTTTATCTCTTGGGTGATTTACTAGGATTATAAACTACTAAATTTATGTTTTACTCCGGAAAATTTAGGAAATATATAAAAATAATGAATTTCCAGTTATATATAATCTCACTACCCAGAAATAGCCGCGGTTGTATTGAGATGGGGGTGGGGTTCTATATCCTTTACCCAAACTTAAAACATGTTGAAAATATGGTGTTTTCTTTAAATAATCCTTGTTTTTGAACAGGGAGGCCTCGTGGGTCTGGTAGATTATCCTGATGATGATGAGGATGATGACGAGGATGAAGACAAGGAAGACATGCTACCATTGTCAAAGAAAGCAAAGTTTGAGTCATAATAATGGCAACTGCCTACAATCAGTACCTGTTGAAAAAACTGGTTCTTCTACCCCTATCCCCTACAAAATTCACAACAAAGCAGTGGTCTCTTGTGAATGACTGACAGATCAGCCTCGCACACTTGACCTCTGCTCATCAAGTGCCAATTCAAAGGAGCAGAAGGAGGGGATATTACACATTAGGGGAAAGACGTAAGCCTTGAGCTCTCCAGCTTGGACCACACATTGCCCTTTTCTCAGGGAAGGAAATGGAAACATAAAGCCAACAGGGCAGGGGTTTTGTAAGTGGAACTCTGGATTGACTGGTCAGTTGCTACAATCAGAATATGCTCTGTCGGACCATGTTTGGGACTCAGAAGAATAGGCTTTTCAGCCATAATTCTTCACTAGTCAAGAATGCCAGCAGTTTCTTTGTATAAAGAGACCTGCCTTTAAAACCATACATTCTGAACATTTTAGTCAAGCTACAACAGGTTTGGAAAACCTATGGGGGAGGGGTGAATATAAAATTTCCTCTTTTTTATCTGTTCCCTTTGCCCTTCGAACTGCAGATTTTTTAAAAGTGGGGATTTGTCCCTACTTGATTAAAGATTGAGTGGAATTCTAGATGTGGTCATTTGTGTCATAATTTTTTTGTTTCATTTTGTTTTTTGATTTTTTGCTCCCCTGAGTGTATGCTTAGTTGAGTATATATATTTGGGACCATTAAAACTTTTTTTGATGTAATATAACCTAACGTTGTGCTGGTACCTGTTTTACCATGTGTAATTTTTGTTCTGCATCACAGTTCTTAATTTGTTGAGAGTTTTATGAAAGATGGTATAGTTTTTATTGACAAAAGCAAAGTAATCTTACAACTATGTGCATACAGAAGCAATACTATTTTGTGACTAAATATTTTATATTAAAATTTACATCAGCAACTGTCTTGAGAATTCAGGGAAATAGAGTGGAATTTAAACTTTCAACAGTTTTGTTAAACATAGAACAGTGACATTAGTATTCCAAAGAGATTCTGAAACTTCATATCTTGGGAAAATGACGGTACATTAAATAAAAATTGAGGATGGATGATTTAAAAATTAACATTTGATTTTTGAATAATAAAAAGAAAAGTGAAGAGTAATAGAAATTGTATTAGTTGTATGTTTCTTTTCTTTTTTTAAATTACTCCCTTTGGAATACCAGTTGGAGTTGATGGTGGTGGTTCCTAAATTAATACCTGGCCAGAGGACCATCAGCTAGTACCTTTTAAAACAGTTTTTTTTTAAAATAGGTTTTTTTCTTGTCTTAGGTGTGCTAAAATGAAAAATCTCAATTCCACATACCCTCACTTTAAGTGAGATTTTAGAATTTACTGAAGAATATATTTGCAAATGTGAGTACAAATTCATATCCAGGAAAGGATACCGTTTTAATTAAGCACTGTGTGCTTCTAAGCTTTTCGTTTGCTTTGGTCTTTAGTAAATTCTAATTTGTGGTACCAAAAATAAGGTTATATTGAATAGTTGGGTGGAAATCCAGAAAGCAACATTTGCTACACTCGAGGAGAGTTTTGTTTTTAGCTAATTGAATCTTTGAGTGTATAATTAAATAGAAGAGTGTAAGTGTATTTCACTACAGTATAGGGCTACTTCTGAGTCACAAGTTCTGGCTATTAATAATTGAAGTTTATCCACTTATCTTGCAAATAAAGATAAGAAAAATGTAATAGGATCTAAGTTAATTATATCATGTGCCATGTGAAATGAAAGTACCATGTGAAATGTTTTGCTTTAAGCATACAGTTTATTGTTTATGTTTGTTTATTTAAGAACTTAGTTTTTAATTTCTGGTTTCTCTCTTTTTGTATTTTTATGACAACATATTGAATGCTGCATTAGCTTCTCAGCTCTGGTGGCATCATGTAGGTATTGTAAAAGTCCCAGGCAGGATGTCTTTCTTGAACACAGATTGAGTTAACTTTGCATCTGTTTGTTAATCCTCACCCCAGGCTGTTTTTTCCTATTGATTTTTAGAGAGAGTGGAAGGGAGGTGGGGTGGAAATTGGTTGTGCCCTGACTGGGGCCAGGATCTAACCTGCAACCAAGGTAAGTGTCCTTGAATAAGAATTGAACCCAAGACTCTTCACTGCTCAGGTCAACACTCTAATCACTGAGCAACACCCGCCAAGGCTAAACATACAGTTTAAATACACCTTTCTGATTCCTGGAATACTTACTTGCCTTCATATTCTGAGCGTTCTTGATTTTGCCTTCATCAATTATGGTGTACTATATTTTTTAAAAGGATACCATTGGCCTTGGACATTTAAGAGATGCCCTTTAATTGATGGATTGTTTCGTTTCTTTAGTGATTATGGTTACTGAAGCAGAAACTTAACACAAGTTGCTATAATAGGAAAAGTGAGGTCTAAAATAGCTTGTCATTTCATTGAGAAAGACTGTTAGCAATAAATTAGCAAAAAGACTATTAGCTAGAAATACAACACTTGAATTGCCACAGTTCCATCTGACTCAAAAGTCCATGCTCTTAAGCATAGATAATGTCTTGGTAATTGATATAAATATAATGATGTGAATAGATTATTTTCTATTTCAGTGGTACTGGTTCTTTTGCTCATTTGTAATGCTTAAAATAAAAAAACAACTCAGAGTGATTACCAAACGATTTCTGAGGACACATTTATAATTGCTGCAGGAAACACCTTGACATCCTGAATTGTCCAGAAATGCTACCTGGGCATTTTTTTTTTTTGACAGGAAGAAGCCTGATGGTTTTTCCCTGTCTGATTGTATTCAGATCCTGCACTTTGTCCCTAGGAACTCCAATTTGCAAGTCAATTTTTATGAATTTGGCAATGGGGAGGCTTAGAGCAGGGGTTAATATTCTTCCTGGTTCTGTTCTAAATTGATTTAAGCAACAGTCTCTATTTAGAACAGCAAGTTTAAACTGGAAGATTCCTTGAAGTAGAAAACTTCAATTGTCTACAATTTCTAGTATTTTCCATAAAAAACTTTGTTAAGAATTTTGGAGGGAAACGGGACCATCAAAATTCTTATATATGCCCGGCCTGTGTTCCTCAGTGGTTGAGCATAGACCCAGGAACCAAAAAGTTGCTGGTTCGATTCCCAGTCCAGGACACATGCCTGGGTTGCAGGCTCAGTCTCCAGTAGAGGTATGTGTAGGAGGCATCCGATGGATGATGTTCCTCTCTAAGTGTTTCTCTCTCCTCCCTCTGTCTCTAAAAATAAAATTTAAAAAACATGAAAAAATTCTTATAAGGTTATATTTGTCATGACATTTCAAGCAAGAGGATTATTAAAAAGTTTTAAGGGATGGGTTATTGTCTACCAGTATACTGGGACATTGAGATGTATGAGGCAATGGGGCAATCATCTCTGATCCAATGCTAAATCACTTTGATTTTTCTCTGCTTGGCCTTAATGCTTCTTGACTCTTTATAATGAAACTGTTAGCCTTCAGAGATAAATGTCTTAACTACTGGAGTCAGATGTCTTGTTCCTTAAAATAGCTCTGATTAGAGACAACTTTCCTTGACTTTTTGCTCTTCTAGGTAAGTTATTCCATGGGCTCAGTGAATAGTGATTTCTTAAACGTGTTGCTAAATGGGGTTTTGTTTCGTTTCTTTCTATTCCCATTATCCCAAAAAACTGCCTGGTGTAGGTCATACCCTACCTGCCAATTCAGTGGACACCTTTCCATCCTTATATTACTTGATACTTTTACAGCATGTACTACTATCTCCTTGATCTCTTTCTCTTGGCTTCTATTGCACCATATGCTTTAACATTCATGACTTTATTTTCATGGCCCCCTTTATCCCTTCAATGCTAGGATTCACTAGGATTGCACCTTGGGTACCCATCCCAATCACTAGCCAGGCCACATTACTTGTATATCCCTGACCCAGTGATGCTATGCCCTAAAAGACTACCTTAACTTAGGTGCCCCCTCAATGCTTTTCCTGCCTTACCTGCTGATGAAATCATATTCTTCTTCCAATGTTCAGAAATGTTCCCTGACACTCCACTTCTTCCTTGAAGGAAGGGTATGTTACAGCCTTTCAGCTATGTATTCATAGTATCTGGTATGACACAAGCCCACAGATGGGTCTCCAAATGTTTACTGGATGAATGATCAAAAGACTGAATAACATGCACACAGAATATATAGACTGGGAAAGTCTTTTAGTTGATGCCCTAGCACAGTCAAAGTTTGATTAAGACCTGGCCCAATGGCTCGGTTGGTTGGAGCTCCCGTACACCAAAAGGCTGTTTCAGTTCCCCGTCAGGGCACATACTTAGGTTGTGTGTTGGGTCCCAGGTTAGGGCACATATGGGACCAACCAGTTGGTGTCGCTCGCATTGATAATTCTCCCTTCTCTAAAATCAATCAACATATATCCTCAGGTGAAAATTAAAATTTAAAAGTGATTCATATTTTAATTGGGTTTATGGAGTGATAACTGGTTAACAAAACACAGATTTCAGGTGCACAACTCTACAACACATCCATCTATATATACCCTGTATTCCACACTTAGCTGATTCATTTTTGACCATAAAGTTCCCTCTGGTGGATATAAAGCAGGGGTCCTCAAACTTTTTAAACAGGGGGCCAGTTCACTGTCCCTCAGACCGTTGGAGGGCTGGACTATAGTTAAAAAAAAAACTATGAACAAATTCCTATGCACACTGCACATACCTTATTTTGAAGTAAAAAAGCGGAACAAATACAATATTTGTATTTGCACGTGGCCCGCGGGCCGTAGTTTGAGGACCTCTGATATAAAGGGAGGACTTGAGATTTCTGTCCTTTGTACCACTGTGTTTTAAGCTAGTAGCATGAACAGAGGGTATTTTAGGTTCAGAAAATTACCTTGACTCATTTCAACAACTGCAGTTCTTAAGCCTTCCTGGTCTATTCGTCCTGGGTTCCAGCACCTCTTACTCCTCTGGTCATAGATCTTACAGATAAGTACAGACCCTTTTATCACTGGACCTAGCCATGAGCTATAGGTTTCACAGACCACTTATCCTTGGTCTGATGTTTGCAAATCTCATGCTCTTCAATGTTAAATGCTACAACATGGGTGAACCTTGAGGACATTAGGCTAAATTAAGTAAGCCATTCACAAAAAGATAAATACTAAATGTTTCCACTTATATGAGGTATTATAGTCAAAATCATAAAGAAAAAGTAGAATGGGGCAGGGGGGGTGGGGAGAAAGAGT